AAATAAAAAATACATAGAAAATGAAACTATTTATGAACGAGATTGACAAGCGAGGCAGCAATTAGATTAATTACTCTAATACCAGTTAGGAGATACTGAAATATTGGCTTTTGGGTATCTTCAAGATAGGCACAAGGTTCTTTCATTCCTTAGGCATATGTAACTAAAAAGAGACTAACTTTCGTGTCGTATTGACTGTAGAACTAAAAACGGTTTGTGAATGGTATCGAGTCCAATTTATGGTTTAACTTTCCGATCCGAGGCGAACTTTACGCCCAACACTTTCCGATAACGGTGTTGTTTTTAAGGGTGCACGACGCACGTCTCTATTTAAGGCCTTTGCCAGGTCCGACCTGCCATCACCAATACGTTGCAGTTATTTTTTACATTATGTTTCATAACGTTTCGCCGTGTCATTAGATAATGCTAAGAGATATGGCCCAACAATAAGAGACTCCTACATATGTGTCATGTTCGGCTTAACATCTTGTCATAGTAGCAGGTCAAAAAATGATGCCACACTTCGCATTGTCACAGTACCGGATGACGACAAGCCCAATATACAAAATCTTGCAATAGAATCTGTCGATGCTCCACAAATCGTTCTTTGTAACGTTTACAAATTATGAGTAAAAATGAGGCAAAATCTCTCCAACAAACGATGGTATACCAATACCAATCAAAATCCATGTGTCGTCTTGAACCTCCAGCATAATTATGTTTAAATTGCATTTTTATCTATCTAAAACATAATTTCTTATATTAAATATTAGTTAACTAACTATATTTGTTCACTTTTTAAAGTTACTAATTAATAATTTACTCACCTGAATTTGTTTTATTCTAGGAATGCAATTTTTCCGCAATGCTGCAAGTTTTCTGTAACACTAAAAGTTTTGGTTATAAAAACAAAACGCATACCACAATGCGTACCTTACTGATCGGTTTTGTGTCGCGTTTTTCGATGTATAAAGTTAAACAAATTATTCTTACAATATAAATATAATTAGTTTTACAACATATTTATAAAAAGAAGAACTCACCTCTCTAAAAGCCAAAGCGCCGATTATAATGAGTGGAATGTAAGTTTTCAAAGGGTTTTCAGCAAAAACTGTGTTTTCGTTTGACAGATTTTGTATGGATGAAAACACAAGTTTTTCGTAATGAAAACCTCCTTTTGTCTATAAAGGCCACAATTTTGTGTCGGTGCAGACATAGTATTAGGTAATACCTTGCATTATTAAAAATTGACCGCCTTCATCTTAAAGTGAAAATATGAAATTATTTTGCTGATATTAAAACATTGTAGGTTTCAGTGAGGACTTTGCCATGTCGTTTACCACTTCAATTTAAAGAGCCAAGACTACTGTAGAAGAACCAGCAATGCCCGTGGATTGGTCTTACATCCTGGCTTTAACTCCAGCACTTTCAATACCTTATTATTAGATCCATTATCGTACCTTGGTAATGACAT